GCTACGTTATTGCTGCTAGAGCAGATGGACAGTGAGCTGCATGAGCAACCTCCAGATGTCCAAGGCCTGCACATGTCCATTCATGGACCCCTACTTGCCTCCACTCCAAAACATTTCCTCCAATTTTTAAAAAAAGTTTCATTGTACCCTCCAGTGGCCATTTTGTGGCCACTAGAAATTGGAGTGAACCTGAAGCCCAAGGGGTGCAGGTGAACTTAAAAGATGGAAAAAATTGTCCCCATCCATCCAGAAGGCACAATAAAATTTTTGAACATTTCTCCCCCTTTACACATTTGAATTTTATGTAGTTTGAGGGTTCAGGGGGCACATTTGAGTAGGAGACCTCAGATTTGGAACTAAATCTGGTCCTCAAAATGAATGAGTTGATTCTTCTGTGTCCCTTGCTAGTGATATCCAAGTATGAAGAAAATCCATTCTAAGCACTCATGAATAGAAGTCTTCTGTATTAACCTATAACAAAATATCTAGCATCCCCTTGTTGTGCCAGGCTACATTTCCTGTCATCTTCAGCTAGAAGGGACAACATGTGCGTCTAAGCTAATAGGAATTGTAGTCCAACATATCTGGGATAATGTATTCTCTAAGGCTTTCACGGCCGGGATCTGATAGTTGTTGTGGGTTTTTCAGGCTCTTTGGCCATGTTCTGAAGGTTGTTCGTCCTAACGTTTCACCAGTCTCTGTGGCCGGCATCTTTAGAATACATGAGTCAGAACTCTGTGCTTTGGTGCAGTTTGTTTGGATAGTTGAGTATAATAGCGGTGGGATCAGCTTTTGTCCTTTTCAGGAGATGGGGGATTGTGGTGATCAGCATGGTTTTTGTGTGTGGGTGTATTGTTGTGATAACAGGGAGAGATTATCTGACACTGTGATTGATGGGTGTCGTTAGCTGGTCTTTTGTGTGCCGTGATCACCAGTCCTTGTAGCTGGGTAGTTTGTTGCCCTTTTGCAGGCTGTATTTTTCAGTGCTGGGAGCCAGGCTTTGTTGAGTTTTAAACTTTCTTCTTTTTTGTTGAAGCTCTGCAGGAGTTTGTGGATTTCAATGGCTTCCCTGTGCAGTCTAACATAATGATTGCTGGTGTTGTCCAGTACCTCAGTATTTTGAAATAGAATTTAATGTCCAGCTTGTTTTAGGGCATGTTCAGCCAATTTTTCTGGTTGTTTTAGTCTGCAGTGTCTCTCATGTTCCTTGATCCTGGTGTGGATGCTGCATTTTGTGGTTCCTATATATACCTGGCCCCAACTGCAAGGTATCCAGTATACTCCTGCAGTGGTGAGGAGGTCCCTTTTGTCCTTTGCTGACTCTAACATTTGTTGTATTTTTTGTGCTGAGCTTGAATACTGTTTTTAGGTTGTATAGGAATAGTAGTTCTTTGTTGACTCCAGTTTTTTTGCACATCAATATCAGCCAAAAAATGAGAAGTCAAGATTGGGGCAAGATTGATACCCTCTCCTACAGAAAGATGAAAAAAGAAACGGTGAACCCCACAGCCAGACAAAAACAGAAATTCAACAAATGCCAAACAAGCCAACTGAAACCTACACTAGACACCTCGCACATAACCATCAACCTATCTGAATGCCAACTGTCCCTGGAAGAAACTTCAGAGTTAGCCAAAGGAGGACATTTCACAGTCACACCCAGTAAAATTCCTGTGGAAGACACCATTGCCAACATGGAATCAGAATTACATCATTTCCAGAAGAAAAAGCAGGAGAAATAAGAGCTGAAATGACAAGGATCCTACAAAAAGCATAACCACCAAAAAGCAACATAACAAGAAAGGAGAGAAGTGCTATCAAGTCCCTAAACTCAGATCCGGACATCATCATTCTGCCAGCAGACAAAGGGAACACCGCAGTAATCATGCAAATAGAAGACTACAAGGACAAAATCAGGGAACTTCTAGACCTCACCACCTACAGAAAACTGAAATGGGACCCAACCAACGAAATCACAAAACAAACATGTTGATCAGGAGTTCCTCACTGCACCCCAATGTCCCTCAATGAATCTGCAAGACAGAAGCTCTCCCAACAAGACTATACGGACTCCCCAAAATCCACAAAAACTCAATCCCACTCAGGCCCATTGTAAGTGCCATCGGCTCCCCGACATAGGAATTAGCAAAATACTTACCCACTCTCCTACAGACCCACATTGGGCAACTCTCATCCTACATCAAGGACTCAGGACTTTTCATAAGCAAGATCAGCACCCTAAAACTCAAACCCGGGGACAGACTGATCAGCTTTGACATAGTATCCCTATTCACCAAGGTACCGATAAAGGACACTCTGACATTCCTCCAGCAGATCCTTCCAGAAGACATCAAGGCCCTTTTCCAACACTGCCTAATGACCAGCTATTTTCAGTGGGATAATGAGTTCTATGAACAGACAGATGGAGTAGCCATGGGGAGTCTCCTCAGCCCAGTTATAGCAAACTTCTATAAACAACATTTTGAAAAACAGGCCATGGTTTAGGCACTCTTCGCACTCACAGTCTGGTTCCGCTGTCTGGATGAAACCTTTGCAATGTGGAACCACAGTGAAGAAAAACCGGAAGAATTTCTCAACCTCTCAGCAGCATCCACCCAAATTTACAGTTCACCATGGAAAAAGAAATAGAGGCCCAACTCCCTTTCTTAGATGTCATGGTCATACGCAAAACTGACCTCCTATTGGGACAGAAGGTCTACAGAAAATCCACCCACACAGACCAGTACCTACACAAAAACTCCAAACACCACTCACAGAAAAAAAGATGCATAATCAAGACACTGGTAGACCGTGCAAATCACAACTGTGAAGTTCAATTTCTCAGCACCAAACTCAACTATCTGAATTGGGGCCTATAGGCAAATGGCTACTCCAAAAATGAAATCACAAGAGCCATCAAACCAAGAAAACAACACCAAACTGAAGAGGAAAAACAGCCACCCAAAAATAAAGTATTTCTGCCATATATCAAAGGTGTAATGGACCACATGGGGGAGCTTTTGAAAAAACACAACCTATAAACAGTATTCAAGACTACCACAAAAATACAACAAATGTTATGATCAGCAAAGGATAAAAGGGACCTCCTCACCACTGTAGGAGTATACCGGATACCCTGCAGTTGTGGCCAGGTATATATTGGAACCACAAAACACAGCATCCACACCAGAATCAAAGAACATGAGAGACAATGTAGACTCAAACAACCAGAAAAAATCAGCAGTAGCTGAACATGCCCTAAAACAAGCTGGACATGAAAATCTATTTCAAAATACTGAAGTACTGTACAACACCAGCAATCATTATGTTAGACTGCACAGGGAAGCCATTGAAATCCACAAACTCCTGCAGAGCTTCAACAAAAAAGAAGAAAGTTTAAAACTCAACAAAGCCTGGCTCCCAGCACTGAAAAATACAGCCTGTAAAAGGTCAACGAGCTCTACCCAGCTACAAAGACCAGTGATCATTGCACACAAAAGACCAGCTAACGACACCCATCAATCACAGTGACAAATAATCTCTCCTACTTATCACCCACAAAAAAACCATGCTGATCACCACAATCACCTGAAAAGAACAAAAGCTGATCCCATGGCTATAAATACTCAACTATCCAAACAAACTGCACGAGAGCACAGACAGTGTTCTGACTCCTGTCCTCTGAAGATGCCAGCCACAGAGACTGGTGAAACTTTAGGAAGAACAACCTCCAGAACACGGCCAAAGAGTCCGAAAAACCCACAACAACCATCATATCTGGGATACATTGGGTTGAAGCAAGCTCTTCAACCCAATACAATACAACTTGTATTTTCCTCCTAAGCCTTTAGGGAAGAAGCATCTTGGAGACAAACACTGTCTATGCAATACACTTTATGGGGTTCTCTATGCCTCACGCATAATCTCTGAAACAAAATTAGAAGTGTCAAAATGCAGGCACTTTTTATTTTCTTTCTCTTTTAGTGGCCCCAAATTGCCACATCCTGGTTCTGTGTAGTCTCCAGAGGGACCTGGGGGACACATGCTTGCCACCAGATCCACAGAGGCTTCCCATCCCTGTTATTGAGGGCTGCCTCAGTGACATGCAAAGAAGTTTTTATTCTCCCCTTTTATTCTATACTCTTAACTTTATAGCTGGTGAGCTATTTTGAATTGAGTTGCAATTGTTTTAGAATGTTACTGGGGATATTATTACGTGGAATTTTCTGTATGTGTTTTCATCCATCTTGGGACCTTGGAGGATAGAAAAGTATGAAATCCCCAAACACTTCCCGCTGTTTTTTAAAAAAACTGATACCAGATGCTCTCATTTATGTCAATGGCTGGAAAACATCTTGCATTGGAAGAAGGAATATCACAGACAGGAAGGATGAGAAAAGCCTTGCAGTACAACTGTAAACACATCCATTGGCGTTGTCAGTTTTCTTCAGTATCTCTCCTCCTTTTCTCGCACAGCATGTGTTAACGAAAGGAACTAGCACATCAGCAGGTAACATTTTCAAAAGAAACCACTAGACAGTGCAAGAGAGTATAAGAAGACCAAACCCCTCATGAAAGTGGGAGGACACTGGAAAACTCTCTCCCTATTACCTTTATTGAGATCTGGACCTCTCTGTGCTGCATCATCAGGACCCTAAAGCACCTAAAATATAAGCATCTAGACGTAGCTGTCTTTATCCGATGAAAAAGAGATAGAGAAAGGGAGAGAAATTGATGCGTGTATGGCAGCCTACCCCGGGTCACAAAATCTCGTGCAGACCACACTGTTTCAAAATTGCAGCAGCGTTCAACATCGCTGGGAGCTGTGTTCCCACGACCGCCTCGCTGATCCTGGGGTCCTCATGCTGAGAAGGAAGCGGACCCAGTCTACCGAGTCAAGTTCCTAAATCCTTGGGGCTCCGTGATCTGACAAGATGGCCCCAAAGCACGGAGAAAGTTATATCTTAAGATGACGGCATAGGAGGATGCAGGACTCAGAAACGCTTCCAGACACGCGTAGCCTCAGACGGAACCGTCTATCTCTCTGTGTGTGAGAGAGATAGAGAGAAGGGAGGAGAGACTGGGCGTACTTCTGCCTGCCATGACGCTGGAGGAGGGAGGGAGGGGAGACTTGGTGGTAAAGAGCGAGGGAACTCCGCGTTTGCAAAGCATCCCGGCGAATGAGCTGAGGCACAGTGTCTGAGGACAGCCGGTCCGCAGGGCGAGCTTGTGTTGTCAGTCGCTGGACCCGCCCGCTAGATTCCTGCAGGACAAGAGGGAAAGAAGCCAAGAAGACCGGCATGGAAGGAACCAGGGCTACGTCAAGCGTGTTTATTTCTTCCTGATCTCTCTCTCACACACACATACTCTCGCATCAATAATTCACTTTAGGGCTTTCCCCCCCTCTTCCCTTCCTAGATGCGGAGGGGGGGTTGGGCGGCGAAGAGAAACGGCGCGCTGGGAAGTCCCGCTTTGGTCCGGAAGGTGTTGGAAAGGGTCTCTCGGAGTGCTTTTTAAAGGACACGCGCGTCCCTCGGACAACAAGCCGAAGGAGCCAGACAGGAGACGGACTTACCCCCCTGCCCCTCCCCGCTCGTCCTCTCCTTCTGGAAATGCTGGACGTGCGCAAGAGAAGCAGGCGCGGGTGCTGAGGCGCTGGTAGCGAGGGGTGCGTGTGTGTGCCCGTGGTTTTCTGTCTTCCCCTCTTCCGCACGAAGGCTGCGACGGGCGGTTTCGCGGCTGGGGTGCGTGGCAAGCGGGCGAGGGAGCCAGGCACCGAGGGCGAGAGGGAGCGGGGAGGCAAAGGCGGCGGCGGCGGCGGCGTCCTAGGCGCGCTCCAACGAGCCGAGCGCATCCGGAGCTCTCCCTGGTGCTGAACCATGGGCGTGCCGAGCCGAGCGCTGTCCATGGTGCCGACCGTGCTCCTGGCGCTGGCGCTCCCGAGTTGGCCCGTCTGGGCGCAGAATGACACGGAACCCATCGTCCTGGAAGGGAAATGCTTGGTAGTGTGCGATTCCAATCCGGCCACCGATGCCAAAGGATCGTCGTCTTCTCCTCTAGGGATCTCGGTACGGGCGGCCAACTCTAAGGTTGCTTTCTCGGCGGTCAGGAGTACCAACCATGAACCTTCCGAGATGAGTAACAAAACCAGGATAATCTACTTTGATCAGGTAAAAAAAAGAAAAGAAGAGAGCACCTCCCCTTTAAACTGGAAGACATTGTTCTAATTATTTTCTCTTGGAATGTGAATCTCGGGACAGAGTCTTGGCTTAGTGGTGATGATCCTTTTGTTTGTTTGTTTGTTTGTTTGAGTACCAACCATGAACCTTCCGAGATGAGTAACAAAACCAGGATAATCTACTTTGATCAGGTAAAAAAAAGAAAAGAAGAGAGCACCTCCCCTTTAAACTGGAAGACATTGTTCTAATTATTTTCTCTTGGAATGTGAATCTCGGGACAGAGTCTTGGCTTAGTGGTGATGATCCTTTTGTTTGTTTGTTTGTTTGTTTGTTTGTCTTCAGTCTCGGGACAGAGTCTTGGTTTAGTGGTGATGATCCTTTTCTTTGTTTGTTTGTTTATCTTCAAAAGATTTATCTCTCAAGAAAGGGACTTTAGTGACAGATGCAAGGTGGCAGCTCATTTTAACACTGAGAGGAGACGGGTTCAGGGGCATAGGTGGAAATCAACAAGTGGGAGTTGATCTGTGAACTGTATAATGTTGCTTTGGAAACTCTGAGCTGAAACATATAACACAATGGTGGTGGGAACTCTTGGTCAATTGATCCATTCTTCCCACCTCATGCTCTTTTGCCTTCCTGATGAAGTTTGAGGACCACGCCAGAAGTCTTTTGGGTGAATTAATCCAAAGGCTGGCTGTAACCAGGAGCAGGCAAGATGGCTTTTATCTGAGAAGCCTGATACTTATTTTTTTTATTATTAGTAGTACTTATGGATTTCAGTTTCTCCTGTTCCACTCTGCCTTAGAGGCTCACTGGAGGTTATGTAAGTCTCAACAGTTAGACATTCAGGATAAATGTGTACTTACTGCTTGCATTCTAATTAGTTCTAATTAATTCGTAATGACTTTTGATGGGGTTCTGTGCATCTGAGGTTAACAAGGGAAGATGGAGCCAGTTTACTGTAGGTGTTTGGAAGTTATTAGAATCTGTGGAGGAAGATGGAGCCAGTTTAGGTGTTTGGAAGTTATTAGAATCTGTGGTAATGGAAGAATAAAGATATCACACAAGTTTTTTTTCATGATTGTAGACCTAGATAGATTGTGAAGTGGATGTGGGGGGGGAGCACCTCCACTAGATTGTGGGGACAAGTCTCCCAATTAGTTCAGAAGCCACACACTCCTCGTGTCCTGATGTTGAGACTATTTATTCAGAAGTAGGTCCCTTGATTTCAGAAGGTTGTATTTGTGTGTGTGCATAGGATTGCAGTCTTTTTGTTTTGATTTAATCTCTGTCTTTGCAGTCTTCCTAAGATGGTTTAATATCTGAAGGAAATGGGTGGGATTTTTTCCAGGTGCCTAGCTGGGTGCAGAGACCCTTGAAGATTTCAGTTTGGTTTGCATCTAGATTTTCCCACCACTCCAAGCCTTCTATCCTCTTATAAGATGTCACAAAGACATAAATGAGATGCAGCTGCAGCTGATAACATACAAGTTACTTGTTCCAGTACAGTCACATTGGCAAGTCTATGGCATGAATATGCTGTAAATGTGGTGATGAAAGGGAATACAGAAACAGTCTTTGTAAGGTACACCACACCTTGGTTGCATTATTGCGGAAAGACTTCTGAAATCGCATTCCTCTTCTTTCAAACACACTCCATGCACCGATACATACTTTATACAGACGTATGCTGTGTATTTGGAGAAAGCAGAAGCAGTCTTTTATTCTACCTAAAACAAGATACTTCAGGTTCACTTTTAATGAGTTGTTTGTAAATTTGATTATCATTTACTAAAGAAGGAAAATAAAATGCCCCATTTATTGTACTATTTTGCCACTTTAAATGGTCAGTTCACTATGAGATTTAAGCATGTGCTCCAGTGTGTCCCATTGAAACACATGCAATTAGTCATTTTGACTAGATCAGACCCATATGGCGTGGGAGAGTGGAGGGAGGCACTGCTATTATGTTGTGTCAGCTCCAGTTTGAGATGGATGTGTTTTCTTGGGAATTGTCTAATAGTCTACCATCAGCTATTTTTTCCTCCTAGCCTTCTCATTATGCATGAAAACAGGTAGAAGAGCCTGTCTTTGCTAATATTAGCACTATAGTTTAATTAAGCTCCGTAAGTAACTCTTTAGGCTTTCAAAGCATATTCTCAGAGTGAATTCTGGATTGTCCAACCTTTTCATGACTACAGACAGTTCTGGGAAGGAATCCTGTCACACTGTCAATAACCTTTTCAAGAGGCCAGGATGTGTAAGAGATCTAGGACCAGTCAGAGCATCAGACAGTTGCCTGGATCTGTGGGAAAGAAGTGTGAGAGGCAGAATACAAGTGTTTTTTCACCCTCTTTATGCAAAGATTTGAAGTCTTAAATTTTAGAAGCATTTGTCCCCCCAACATCCATTGTGCATGCTATAAAAATGCCACATAATTAATTTCTCTTCCTACTACTTCTTTAACACCCTGTTTTCATCCCTACTAATCACACTCCTTCCAGTAAAGCAAACATATGGTGCTTGCTGTATATAAAAGAGTCTGCTTTTTCTATTAACTCAATAACTGAAATCAATCTCAAGACTAACAGGTCTGAAAACACACCTATTTGGTTGGAAGTCCTACCAAGATCCTTTGTTCATTTAATATTTGAATTT